TTACTCGATTGATTCTGAAGTCATAACCAGGGCAAATGCCATGTAGCCTCAGTGTTCTTCAGGACATGATAGGGGCATTTCGAAGTCAAGAAAAAGAGAAAGTGAGTAAGGAAAGAAATGCGATCTTATTACAACTTTTCTTTCTTCATGATTTTCAAAGCACCGTCTCACCTTAGAACACCCGTTTCATTTCAGTGCTTTTTGCTACGCTTGAGTTCACAACAATTTAAGTGAACAACCGGGAGAGGATAATACCTTAGCAATACAATAGAATAGGTACCGCTCCACTTCTAAGGTCAACATAGGCAAACATCAAAGTAACTCTAGTAGATAGGTAGCAATTTACTTTGTAATTAAACAAACAAAAATCACATGGAATCGGCCTTTGATATCAGAATCATAACAACAACAACCTGTTGATAACTGTGGAAATTACACGACGACGGAACCTTTTACCTGTGCAAATGAGAAATTGGATTTTGTGGCTGAGGAACAAAGCAAATCCTAGCACTGTTTGTTGTCCACTTGTTTGGTCCGAGTCTGGTCAGGAGGCACGTTTGTCCTCAGTGAATAATTCAAAATTGTTTGGTCAAATTTCTTTCTGATTTGTTGATATTATGGTGCTGGATTTGTAGCCCCTGGCAAGTGCTTAAGGTGATAGAGTACAGCAAGCTAGCCATGTTGCTGTTTCTTTGTATATCTGTATAATACTTTTATGTGATTTTCTGATGAGGACATTTGTATGTACTCTGTTCAGGAAACAAAAATTAGGGAAAAAAAGCATAAATTAAGTAGGAGATCTTAATGCTTTCTTTAACTGTAGAACCTCACAAGGATATAATATATCCCAACTTTCAATCAAGTTTAAAGTTTACAAAAGTTCCATACTTGGTGGGGGGGGGGGGGGGGGGGGGTTTGGAGAAAGATTAAAAAAATTTCAGTCAGTAGCTTTCCACCGTGTTGAAGATCATATCTCTGCCCAACCAAACCACAGGCCCACCCCATCCATGTAGGTCTTATACCTTTACATCCTTAATTATAATTACCTGGTCCAGTTCCTCCTTTGAAGCTCGTCCCTAGTATCTGTGTCTCCAGTTATGTAAAATAATACCTGCTCTACCTGAGTAAAGAGGACCCTGGAGGCCCTCTCAGCATCTCCAGGGGTGTATTAGGACATATTAGCGTCACTTAGGGGTACTTTGACATATGGGAATCAGGGGGTTTGAAGGAAGTTTGTGGAACAGGAACCTGGCTATTAGCAGAGACTGGGGTAGAGTGGACATTGGGGATGGGGGATGCAGGATATGTGTGTGGGGGGGAGGGGGGAAGCTTATAAAAGGGTTTATATAGAATCTGGGACTGTTTTCAGTACCTAAGCTTTAACTGCTCATAACTTTCCTGAACATTCCTAGACACCATAAATTTTTATTGTTGCCCAGTCAAGTCCTCTTCACTGAGGGGTTGAACTGCAGACATATTAGCAGGCAATAAACTACTAAGTACTTGGCCTGCTGAAGTGATCAGGCTGTCTATACTTAGGGACGAGATGGAAATGATGAGAGTTTATTTGAAATTCAACTCTTAACATTTTTTGCACTTAGATGATATTGTAGATGAGAGTTTGTCATAGATAAATTAGCATGCATATTATTAATTACATGATATTAGGGAGAATATCAGTTATTATAAAAATATGGAAAAAAATTAGAGGTATTTTTTCTCAACATCTTGTCCAATATCAGAACCACTGGAAACATGTAAACCCTGATGTACATTGTTCTGCAGACGACACCTTGCATGAGAAGTTGAAATGATGGTCATCTCTGCCCTGTGAAGCTTGGCCAGAGAGGCTTCTGTGATGTAATAAAATCTTGTCATGGCCTTGTGCCTTTGTCATTAGTCTCTTGTAGAAGACATTAGCGTGTCTGTGTGCGCAGTCAGATGATGATTAGGCTTGTCCTGTATTGTCAGATAATGATGAGGCTTGTCTTGTGTGGTGTAGACACACACAGTTGACATATGTACATGCTGAAGTTGGTGCCACATTTCTGACACACATGGTCGCATCTGTATCAGGAGAATGTTTCCCCCTACTATACGATTCTTGTTCTACTTCTTACATACTTGTTTGGATGTATGCTTGGGTGACATGATCATATCACAAGTCTAATTATTTTATACCAGTAACCCATGTTTTTAAAAGTATTTTTGTGTCACATCCCCCCCCCCCATGATTTTGAATCTGAAAAATGAAACGTAGTACTATCAGTTAACTTCAACACCATATATAGCCTGATTGTGTTCAAAGAAGACTGATTGTGTTTCCATACTGTAATGGGATTTTGTCTCTGGTTTTGCTTAATTTTTTAGGAATTTACAGGAATCCTCATATCTTAAAGGCTATTTTCTTTTTCATAAAAGTTTAAGATGTTTAAGGAAGTACCCATTAAGAAGAATTCAGAAATTGTAGACAATGAAGCTTATTCTACAAATTCTTTGTGTATTTTTTGCAAGGGAATCTTTTCAAAACTTGCAGCTATTTATTCACGGAAATGGTGTGTGGGTCAAAATGTTTGTATATTGCAATACAATGCAGGTCATGACTGGGTCGTACCTCTAGAAGAAACTTGATTGCTACAAAACCATGCTAATTTTCTTGTCTTTCTCAGTGTTTCTTGGTCCTCGATCCATTCCGTAGATAGAAGGATAATAAGCAATCAGCAAGACTTCATTTCTTTATTTCATTATTGTACATTTTGGCAAGAGCTGCCTTCCTTTCCTCTGAGGATGTTATTTCGTGGAAATAAAGTTTAAGTTGTCACAATATCCAGATTTAATAAGGAGAGCTATTAGCAGCCAACAAAGCTAATTTACAGATTTCATTTGCGCAGTGTTTCAGGAGCTCTTTCAGCGTTCCCTTGGGTTGTTTTTACTTTAGCGAAAAAACCAACAGGTCATTCCTTGGCCAGGCTTTGAGAGGGAAAGCAATTTGTGGTCATTACCACTAATTTTAATGTTTTATTTGGCAAGCCACTACATTATAAGGTCAACACCCCAATAAAAAACAAAGGTTTCTATAATTTATCACCAAAATAAAACAATAGGGCAGCCACTTGTTGGCAGTCACAGGGGAGGATTTATTCTCTTTAATGCTGGTTTTTGTGAGTTACAAGGTAATTACATACCCACATCAAAAAACTTTTGAGATATATTGTTTTAACAACAAATCCAACACCCAGACCTATATATCAAATATGTGTGTGTTGTATTTATATCGAGGTGTACTCTAAAATCCACATTAACTGGTAACTTCAAAGGAATTTTAACAATAACCATCGCAATTTCAATTATTGTGTAAGAGGATTAATGGCAATAATCAAGGTAAAGCCCTTTGAAGCCGACTTCACATGCCCTCGCCAACCCCACTTGAAAACACTGTGACACATATGTGGTCATGAGGGGAGATAAACAGTTGTACAAATAAGATGTAACTGCCCAGGTATGGTCGAATCAGGTGACCGCAGGATGGACAATGCTGATGGACATTTAGAAAAGCCACCCACCTATAAAATAGCCACAGATTATGAATCATGGAGGGACCACCATATTTTCAGTGGTTTCGGACCAGACACCTGCTTTAGTGTGACATTGACTGTGAAGGGGTGATAATGCATCTGACCATGAATTAGATCAATCAGACAAGCAGAAACCTCTGTTCTTTAATACCAAGCCCACTCCAAAACAGTTAACTGTACTTCTTCCTTATGTGTGCATCCATTAAGCTTTTATATTTTCAAATCCCCTATATAATTTTACAAGAAATGAGCCCACTCTGTATCTTATAGAAAGTTAATGGCTGCAATCATGGAGTGGTCATTAAGGTATTAGAGGACCAGGAGGGCCGCCCCTTTGATCTCTGCCTGCAGACCCCTCTGTAGTGTCTAGACTGGACTGGTGGTCTTCATAGCCACAGCATACACAGCACAGGGCACCTGCTGGGCATTTTAGGGCCCTGGCTGCTGTATGATGGATGTGAGGTGGTGGATATCCCCTATGTAGGGCATTAGGTGTGCAGTGTGAGGGCCCCAGGGATGGATAATAAAGGTGACTGTTAAGAGCAAGCAGAGGTGGGATGTAAGGAAAGAGGAATTCATTTAACTTTGATTGGATTAAACAGTGAATTCAATTAACAAAAGAAATTGGAATCAATTGATTTGGTTGGAAAATGGAGAGAAATTAGCTGAAGTGCAATTGAATGAGGTTTCTTCTACTGTGATTATAGGGGCATACAGATTGAAATTACTTAATACATAGTCATCATAACTGTATTGATTAAACTATCAGGAAATTACTACTAAGCAGCGCCCAAGCCAAATCAAGTAATAATTATGCATGGTTACTGTTATAATGTATTTAAGATATTTGGGCTCATTTTTGTCAATGATAGTCTTGTGTTTGACTGCAAAGGCTCTTGGTAAGGATTTTAGAGAAAAATAATTTTTTCACTCAGTTAAGTAGACCATTCTGACTAATAAAAAATGTGAAAAGAGTAGGAGTAACATCTAAATACAAGTCCAGTGCCAGTTTACTGGGTCTTTGAAGCCACAAAATACCCTTGTCAACAGAGAGGTATAAACATGGCAGTTTTTTCACAAAGTCTACACTGAACCAGAACCTGATCTCAGTGAAGTAAGAAACTTAACAGATGGTCTTGTTCATGTTTTCTAACACCCTGAATGTCACATTGGGCAGCAATGGTCAGAGAAAACTGCAGAAGAAATAGTGTGTGTGTATGTGTGCTTGTGTTGGGGGGGGGGGGGGGGGGGTAGTCTGCTCTCCTAACACTGACAGTGAATAGATATTATCCACAGTAACATAGTATCTGTCCTATTACCCCTAATGATAAAAAGAAGAAGATGATGATGATGATGATGATAATGATGATGGGAATAAAAAATTAAATTATAAAATAAATTAATTGTTTCTTGTTCTATTTCCAGATTGTACCAGCCCTCATCCCGCCAGCCAGTGGCCTTCTCTCCCAGCGCTGACCTCGGCCTCACGGACATTGAGATGGCCCATGGCATGGACTTCTTTGATCAGTACGATGACGATCCTGGTTACGAACTAGAATATGAGGTGAGGAAAAGTAAAGGATTGGGGGTCGCGCTCATTGATTTTTTCCCCCAAACCATGAAGATGAGATATTGTGTCTGATGTTTGAGTTAACCCAAGTAAGAGGTTGAAAAGGAAAATCCCACTTTCTTAGGCTGAGGGTTTTTTTATATGATATGAAAAAAATGACAAGAAAAGACCTAGGTTTCATGAACTGAGGGGTTAGATATTAGGTGACATTTCTTGTGCTTCACTTCGTATATCACTATACAATATGTGACTTTATGGTTGATAAGCTATCAAAATCTTTTCCACAACTCTTCTTTTGGGAAAGAAATATCTATTTTTATTTAGCCATCATTGGCAACGAACAGGTGTTTTGCAACTGTATTCTTCCCCTTTGTAGAACACTTCCTACACATTATCACCTCAGTGACAATGTTGCCAAATCTGGCAGTTAAGAAACCACAAATAGAATTGTCTGCCTCTTTGTTAATTGAAATTGACACCCAGGACTTCTCTATGCAGGAGTTAATAGGGGTCAATACGGAGCCATTGAGTTCTGGCTTCACAGTCTGCCAAACAGTTCAAAAATAAAACCCGAGAAAAGATATACAATTCTCTAAACCTATGTCATGGATAAACTTTTATCAGATGACCTAACATTCCAAAGGAAAAAATTTGGCAGGATGTTATGATCTTTTCTTAATAATAGACGTGGAAAAGTTCAAATCACAACATTAACTTCCATACAATTTTGAACGCAGATTAACTTTTCTCCAATTTCGTGGCGACCCAGGGGTCGGCCATTTTTCCAACCAGTCAATCAGATTGTGCGGCATTATGTCGGAAATGATTTTTCTCATCCTGTCACTAAAACAGTAGGCTCTTTCATAAGGATGCACATGACTCCAGCGTGCTTTATTAGAGGTGGAGATTTTGTAGAACAGCCCCATAAAAAGTAGAGGTGATAAAAAAACTGAGCTGGCAACTGATTAGGCCAGTTGAGTACCATGTTGGCCGGGTTAGAACAGCAGGGAGGGTGATAGAATAGCCCATGTCACTCCTTGTCAGCCCAATTTTTTTTACAAATTGGACATAACCACTTGCTGGCGAGATCAGCAGAGGAAAGCTGATTAGGTCTTTGGCCTTTTGATTTAAACCATAGAGTTTGAAGTTATGTATAAGATACATAGTATATGTTATGATATTTGGTGTGTTAATTATGTGAAAAACTATTAAAAATTCATTATTTTACACTTA